ACGGAGGAATATACAATGTAATGGTCAGATCTCTTTGAGATATTGTAATGCACATGGCACGTGGAATACAAATTATTGCTTACTGTTGTTCTGGGTAACTTTTAATTAATGTATAATACTTAGTTAGCATTTAAGCATTCTCAACTCTGTTTAAATGACGTTAATACTTGTTTTCTACAAGTATTAAGATATGCTTAGCTTGTATTCTTTGTACTATAAAACCCCAAAGGAACAGCTAGTATTCATTCAATTGTTTTGTCTTGTTTCGCCCGAGCAAGTTACAGTCTGTGTAAAAGTTATATATTAAATTACATTGAACCAAACCTATCTTGTCAGTTCTTATTGTTTTACTAAGTCTAAACTCTAAACCAGTTAATTACTACATTTCTAACACTGTACAAGATAGTACTTCTGTTTGACTCTACAGTTCATTACAACAAACGCTTATACTTATTTGGACATCAGTGTAGTGCAGTAATTCATTTACAGTATTTCTTATTAATACATGTTTTCGAAACACTAATGATTACCTGGCTAATAAAAACAAAGTAGGAAGGTCTATAAAAATTAATTAGTCTAAATTCAAACTAAACCTAACCTAACAAGTGCGTAACACAATTTTTTCAGCGTTATAAACTAAAAGATTAAACATGAGAAACTAGTGTTTTTTTTTTGCCATCGAAACGCGTTATATTATACCTACACACAATATCAGGTTCAATACGGTTATATAATTACTCTTTTTGGTTGAGGCTACTACCTACAACAAGTATGATGTCACCACGCAAGAAAATAAAAAATTGTAAGAAACAACGATTTCGTCATGGTTTATGTTTATTATGTGCCATATAATTGATGATGAAGTAAAACAAACTGTTTTAGGCTCGACGTTTAGATAGGTACCTACTTCTTGACAACTTCCAACCATAGGCTGATAGAAAAATAACGCAACACATTTTTGTTTGCGTTTTAAACAGTAGGACAGCATTATGTGGCGTACCTATCAAATACCGTTAGCTAGGCTAAACAAAAACCGGGAATCAAATACCAAACTAGTAATAAATAAAAACCTGCGACCTACCATAACATAAGTTCAAGCAATACAAAACACATGACAAAGGGGATTTTGTATAAAAGTTCTAGATGGGAACAATATTAGATTACAGGGCAATCCAGATGGTCAAAACCTTGTGACTAACCCAACAGCCCCGCACCTATCAGGATTTGAGCTACCGAAAAAAAAAACATGGGAAACACTCAATCGAACGCACTTGTCGAATATCATCGAGTCACGTCACACAGTTTGAGCGAAGACAGAGATTGGTTACCCAACGTGTATTGGTATAATAATTGTCACATTTTAACGTGACTATATCTTATTACGGTCGACAAACAAATACAATACAGTGTATAGTCAATTTTTTTTTATTCACGTTGGTACAGACTACAGTAGGTATATTCAATTGGGATTACTATACGGAAGGAGATAATCGTTTTGTATAGTTTTTTTAATCATTATTGTTTTTTGTAAAATTCCGGTGAAACCGAAACGACGAACTACCGGAAACCTTTATATTGAGAAATTATTTTATCGTTGAAATGCTGAGCACAACAGTCTTTGACAAAAACGCCGGACAACCCGTGTAGTTTTTGGTTAAGAATGATATTTTTTATTTCTATAATAAAGGTTTATAATTTTTTACATGGCTATCTTAGCAAACATTGAGCGTTAAACGTTTTCACAACGTTTTACAAAAAAACCGCTAATAACACAATAAATTGAGTAGCTGCGGTAAAACTGTTAAGTTTAAGTTTAAGGTATTATATTAAAAAAAAAATGAATGTCCTCTCCTCGTTTCCTCTAAGACGTTCTATAATTCAGTCCATCGAAAATAAGCGGTGCAAGTTATTTTCCAATGAAACAAAATAATGTAAACAAATAAGTCATAATATTATTATCTATAACTTGTAAGTAAACAAATTATTTCACTAACCAGCTACAAATCACGTTGTTGGCCAAATCATCTACCTTATTTTATTATTTCCTTAAAGTCATTTACTCGGTAGAGTGTAAAACTTACACAAGCTTATCTGTAAACTTGTACAGATATTATACAAATCTGTATTGTATTATATATATATGTTATATATATTCTATTCATATATGTCAACATTTAATCCCCCCTCCTCTCCCATCGAGATGAAACCCTAATTATGAGCCGCTGTGTGTGTGATTACTCAAAAAACTTGTTTCGAATAACACACGCGTGTACCTAAAAAACCGCCTTGTATAGCGGTAAAAGTTAACACAACGACAACGATATGTCTCCAAACGAGAAGTCAACACTTTTTCCGACTTATCCGCATAAGATTGCAACTGTTGCGCAACCAAGGCTTCGGCAGATTTGCAATTTTTTTTCCGGGACCGCTTTCGTTTCGGTCGTCCGACCGGTTGGATTGTATAATTATTATTGTCACCCAATAGTATATTATATTACCATATTATTATATTTTACATCCAAACACGAGTGCGAGCCGCGTCAACACAAAACACAGTTTGTTTTAATTGATCCGACCGTGCTTGTGTGCACGTCTCGTTACAATATGTATGTGTGTATAGGTATTACAGCAGTAAGTAGTAGCGCCTCTTTTTGAACGCTACAAGTTCGCTTTCTATACCTGAAAATGATTTCGCTCTAGCCTCGTTACAATAATGATACACGCCGTTTAAGATTGTTGTTGTTGTGTATACCTTTACACGCGCTACTTGGGACGAGAACGACTTTCTGGGTACGGTTTGTTGACTTTGAAAATAGCGCTACAGCACTGTTGTGTGTGTGTGTGTGTGTAAAATTTAGGGCGTTGGCGTGTGTTTCCGATAATAGTAAAGAGTTTATATATATTTTTTTTTTTTTTGTATTTAATAACAATAAACACCGCTCGTAATTGCAGTCTATAATCGAGTTGAGCGCACATGTAGAGCAAGTGCATCGTTTTCCGGTGTGGTTTCGGTTTTTTTTTTAATTTGTTTCCCTTTACCACCTTCTCAACACTTACTTACAACGCGGTACGTCCCACTCGATCGCGTTTCCAGAAGAAGATAAATTTATCGACATTGTGTTCTGCTGTAGGTCTGAAAACCGAACAACACGTTGGTAAAAATTTAACTTGTAAGGGGAACTGCACAGGATTTGTTTTGACAATGTGTTTCTAGGACACCGGAGCACCGTGTCTTTGAGGAAGCTAAAAAAAAAAAAAACAAAGTGGTGGTACATGTAGATTATATAACCGATTGAAAACTCAAAAGGAAACTAAAACAGTATTATTAAACAGTAGAGGACAAACGCTTTATGGGGGACTTCTGTTAAAACCTGTTGTTATATTAAAGTGGGCGTCGTCGAAGGCGTGTGGGTTAGTGCAACGTGTGCGTGCCTACCGGGTTTTTATTGTTGTGTATGCATTCGAGTATTCGACGAATATATAATATTCATCGAGTACATTCTGTAACTGGACAACATAAGTGTGTAAAGAGAAAAATAAAAGCACAACCGCAAATCTCAGGCACAAGTCAAACCGACCACGCGAACAATTGCGTCCAACGAGTTCCCAACGCGCGGTTCTGTAATTGTTAACGTGGCATACTTGCAGTGTATATGGTTTTTGGATTAGGTATGGAAACAATTAATATTAGTACACAATATTACACAATAGCATTTGTAAAATAAAATAATTTAGCTTTATTGACACGTATAAAAAGCACTGGGTGGCCGATGTCACGTTAATGAAATTTCACTTTCGATAGGTCAATAAAATTAAGTGCAGAAAATAAAAAATCTTTCGCTAGTGTGCTAAAAACCATAATTCACATAATATGATCACAGCTAAAAAATAATTTTATAATGCATAATTCATCATTTGTATGCACACAGGCAGGGTATGTACAAACACATAAAACCGAATATTTCATTAACTTTAAAATACACTTTCAAAATATATTAGTTGGTCAAAAAAGATATCCATTATAATTGTTTAAAAATAATTTTACCTATATTAGCTGTTTAACAAATTTGAGTTTTTTTTCCTAATGGATATAGCTAAATAATATCGTCTTGGATTCTTCCGCCTTACAATTTTTCTTTCTTTATATTATATTTCTTTCTTTACAATTAATTTCACTGTATACAATATAGTTCATTATACGCTTGATTGGACGATTGGGAAATGGTATTTTTTTTTTATAGTTTACTATTATTTATTATATTTTTTTTGTATAAATCAAGAACTAAAATGAAACGGATTGCATCATTGAAATATAATTGTTTGGAAAAAAAATACAGGGGTTTTCTTAATATCAGTCTAAACTACGGTTCGTTATCTGGATTTTTATGGATACACATACATTTTTAATGCGTTATTTTTGTTTCTATGAAATATTGTGCTTAAGTTGTAAACATGCGTCACACATTCACTGTCCTTAGAGACCACAATGGCTGTACCCCGTGTTTCCAAGTCTCGGATAATTTAATATTAGTTCAATTTAGATGTGACCTGATATACATATTATTATTTCACTCCAAAGAGTTCCGGTTTAAAAAAAAAAAATTATCTCGTTAAAATACCTTACCGGCATTAACGGTATAGGTTACCCAACAATATTGTCGTGTCGTAATAGATGTGGTTATTGATCAAAGATTATGAAAAATATCCACGTATATCTTTTTAAAATTATCACTAATCCTGCAATCATAAACATAATCTTATTCGGTTGATAAATTCGTTTTTAACATGCGATAACAATCGATATGAAACATTAAAGTAATTTGCGTTTGCTTTCTTGGTAAAAAAAAAAAAAACGTATATTGTATAATATAACAGCGACCAAATACATTATGCTAACACTATCGCGCAAAATACACAATCATTGCCAATAAATTTAAAACGTTTTGAAAAATATAATTGTTTCTACCTATAACTCATTATTCGTCTGTGTTTGTTTTCAGGTTTATTTGGAAAATGAAGGAGTGGAGGTTGGTCGTGCTCCTTTGCACGGCCTTACTTTGTGATGCGGTCCGATCTCAAGAAAAATGGAGTCGACCCGAAACGGCGGAAAAACGGATAGACGACTGGGTTCCGATCACGGCATCTTGTCCGTCATGTCGAAAAAATCTAGAGCCTATTGCTTCCGGTGGGGTCGATGAAATCGGAAGTTTATTAAATCCACCGGCTATTCCGGCATCTGGCGCCAGAAGTCTTTTCAACTTTAATACTCCTCAAAATCATTTTAAACGTGCGCCGGCCGGTGAACCATACGAAGTGACTCCACCTCCTATACCAACACAGCAACAGCAACAGCAACAGCAGCAGCAGCAGCAACAATTTTTTAACCCACAACAGTTGCAAAAAATACCGCAACCGGTGCACTTCCCGGTGCCATTTTTCGGTCAACAAAACCCGTTCCAAGGTAGATTCCAAAGTTTGCCAAATTTTCAGCCACAATTCACGTTCCTGCCACAGCAACAACAAGTTCAACCAATAGCGAAGGACAACAAAATTGCTTTCCCTGAACCGACGTTTAATCAGCAACCCAACAAAGGAATGGTGCAACTTGTTTACGTGCCCATCGAAGCGTTACAAAGACAAAAACCCAGATTTCAATCTGAAAGACCTGCTCCACAACAATCCTCGTTAGACGCAAAAGCACAATCTCCATTTGATAGCGATAAATTGCGATTCCAAAGACCACCACAACCAGCAGAACAGCCAAAACCTCGATTCCCTCCTCAATTTGGACAAGAGTCTGGACGTTTCCCACCTCCGCCACCAACATTTTTACAAGAATCTAACCGCTTCCCGCAACCTCCGCCGGCTTTCACGCAAGACACTGGACGTTTCCAATCACATCCATCATCTGCAGAACAAAATTCAGGCCGTTTCCCATTGTCTCTAAATTCCGCTGAACAAAATTCCGGGCGTTTTCCACCACCTCTTTCGTCAGTTGAACAAGACGCAAGTCGTTTTTCGCTACCCCCATCATCAGTAGAGCAAGATTCTAGCCGTTTCCCATCACCCCAAGCATCCACTGAACAAGACTCTGGTCGCTTCTCACCTCCTCCATCATCATTCGAACAGGATGCTACTCGTTTTACACCACCGCCGTCTTCATTTGAACAAAACGCTGGTCGTTTCCCCCCTCCATCGCAAGTATTTAACCAAGAAAAACCAACATTCTCTACTCAGTCAAAGGCACCACGACCTGATATTGTACCTCAAAATGAACAACCAGCGACACCTCAATCTTATCAATTTGTAGAAAATGTCAGAACCCCCCCGACAAACTTTTTCCAATTTCACGAAAACCGTTTCCCGAAGCCATCATCGCAAGAAGAAAGACCAAAGGAACTGAAACCGCAGGTACAACAAAACTTTGCATCAAACTTCGATGATTCTTCAAAGGAATCTACACAACATTTTGCACCAGCATTTGATGGAAACAGACCAAGACAAGAACTTCCGCCAAACTTTATTCCTAATTTCCTGGATAGCAAGCCCAGGCCAGAACAACAAACACAGTTCGTTCCAAATTTCGAACAACAATCGTCAGAGCAGCCTCAAAAATTGATTCCTAACTTCCAAGAAAGACCAAGTCAAGAGACAGCGCAACAAACACTTGTACCCAGTTTCGAGACATCAAGACCAAAACCGGAATCTCAACAAAATGCCATTCCAAATTTCCAAGAAACAATACCCAATCAACAGGTTTCCCAGCAAACTTTCTCGCCTAGTTTTGAAGACATTAGGCCAAGACCGAGACCAAAAGTGCAAAAACCACAATTTCCATTACCACCAACTCAACAAGTCTTTAGCTCGCCAAATTCTATAGAGCAAATAACACCGACAACTCCGTATCCTCCAGCGCATCAACCTCCTCTTTCTGTTTACATGGAAAAACGTCTAGATAATAGAGTAAACGAAGTGTTATCTATTTTAAAAGACGCTAAAACCATTCCAGTATTAGATACAATTGGTGACCGTTCGCCGAAAGTATTTGTGGGCCCGTCTGATTTAGATGCACCCAGAGGATATGCGAAATTTGAACTGCCTTATTTATCATCGCTAGACATTACTAAAATTGAATCTATGGCCGATCGTTTACCATTCTTCGTGGCGCCACTTAACTTTAAACCGCCAATTGGTTATGCTAAAATTCCATTCCCGCCGCCTCATATAGGATCAGTTGTCGTGTCTTCTAAATCTCCAGCTATAGCTTCTTCTACAGAATTTGTACCTTTTGCACTCACATCTCAGTTGCCGACGGAAGTGAACTCTTTAAAACCATCGTCTGTTTCTAGTAGTACACAGCGTGGATTTGCTTCTACAGAAAAAAGTCAATACAGTTCAAGCCCTTCATCAACTACTCCAAAACGTAACCGGCAAAGAAAGCCATTGCACAGAGGCTCATTGACCAGTTTTAGTACAACCACTCCTTTAAATGATGTTACAGAACGACAAAGAGATCAGTTCACAACGCCTGCGGGATTCCAACGTTTGCCAGAAGTTAGCTCTTCAACTGAGCCGCAGAAGTTTATTGAAAGTACTCCATCGCCTATTCAAGAGCAATTCTCCCAGCAATTTTCAAAGCAGCCGATTGAACAGCAACAACCTGTATTTGAATCTACTCAGTCTCCCATCCAACAACAGTCACAACAGCAGTTCGACACTAACCAGCCACAACAGCAGTTCGACACTAACCAGCCACAACAGCAATTCGATACTAACCAGCCACAACAGCAATTCGATACTAACCAGCCACAGCTCTTTGCAGATCAACAGATTCCTCAACAGTTCCAACAACAATTCCTAGACTCTTTTTCACAGTTGACTCAACAACAATTGTTCGACAGTCAGCAACAACAGTCAGCTCAATCACAACCAAACCAACAGGCGGCTTTTGATAATAATAATCAGCAACCACCTCAACAACAACTTGTCGATAATCCCTCACAGTTTGTTACAGAGCAAACCTTAAACTCTCAATCCCCGGTCGATATTAACACTCAAGAAGCAATTCAACAACAGTATTTCCCGAGCACAACCGAAAAACAGTTCCATCAAAACTTCCAGCACGTGCAACCGCTTTCGCAGTATAACTCAGGTAAAAATAACGTAGGTCAACAGCAACCTTCGGCTGAAAAAGTGCAAACTGAATCTGCTGTACCTCAGTTCGCATCGGATGAGCCACAGTCCGTAGTGCCAACGGAATTGCCAAAATTCAGACAGCGTTTGTCCTACTACGACAAAGTATTGTTGTCGTCGACAGAAACCCCTGTGGAAAGCACAAGTATTCAAAATGTTATTGAAACCAGTGAAAAACCCAGGGAACGTCCAAAGTTGCGGTCTAGACAAAGGTTGACCACGACAAGACGACCAACGACCGAATCGAAATCATCGGATGAAATTTCTGAACACGCCACTGAAACGTCTACGCAAAGGTACAATCCTCTGAAGAGACGTCGTCCGGTTTCCACTACCACTACGGAAACATCTGAGCCAACGACTAGACATCCTTTGAGGTCTAGGACCACTCAAGCGGGACGATCAGAATTTGTGCGATCCAGGACGAGACGGCCGCTGACTACGACCACCACCACGACCACTACGGAGCTACCTCGCACAGAGCAGATAGATAACTTCAACGATGTTCAGATTGCTGGTCAGGACGAGCAAAAGAAAATCGAGGAAGCCGCTTCGTTCTGGAACGAACCGGTGACCGTCCAACAGAGCCAAGGATACGAGCTGAGTTCGCACAACCCGGAGGGCACCAGATACAGCAGCGGTGAACCGCCAGTCGACGAATCATCGGTGTCCAAAGAAAAATACGGCAACGATAAGAAAGCCCACGACCCGAACAGCGAGAAGAAAGCGCCGGGCAGACGAGGTCACTGGGTCAGAGTCAGAGTTAAGAAGCCACAAGACGGTCTGGACACGGCCGAATCGCAGAACTCACTTGGCCCCCTGTCGGCGAACGCAATTCGTGAACTAGCCACCAAACCCACGACGCCCACTGAGTACAGCTCCCCGTCGTCGTCATCTTCTACAACCGAAACGACGGCTGCGACCACCGACATCCCTTCTCCTGTCATTTCTTCGTCTTCCACCACCACCACCACCACCACCACCACCACGGTCAGCCCGCCCGTGACCACGACCACGGTAGCCGATGAGTTCACCGCAGACGGCGTCACCGAAGAAGAAGAGCGTCCGGCCGAAACCACGCTGACCGTCGTCACCACCACCACGTCGACCACAGGCGCCGCTTCGGTTAACGACGAACAGGACGAGGCGTTCCAACGCAATCTGGCCGACATGTTAGCCAAGTTTATCGGAGGCCCGCAAGAACAAGCAGCAGCACAGGAGACGACTGTGGCGCCGGCGCCTGTGGAAGACGCCACCAACTCGGAAATGATGTTGGACGCGGTCGAAATGGACACGACCGTGCCGCCTACCGTGGTGACGGAAACGCCGAGCAGCGCACCGGTCACTTCCACCACAACCAAAGTATCCATGGAGACTGAGATATGTTATAAGGGCAGGTGCGTGAAGAGCAAAAAAAACAAACCGATCACCGACCTGTTGCCCGAGCCATGATAACGATAGTATAAAGTATTTTATAATATATTGTAATAGTAAGAATAATAATAATAATATAATTATAATAATGCGACAATGTTGTACACACGTGATGATGTCATGTCAATGCGTGGTAAGCCGTATACAAGGTACGTTCAAGGTTACATGTTAAGCTTTATATTGTATAAATTACACCCGCGTTTTCAAGTATATAATAATTTCTGAATTTATAAACACGACAAACCAAAGATCAAATATATACATATGATTGGGAATCTGTGCCAACATCTTGGACAACATTTTTTTTTTTTAAATTATAATTTGTTAGTTTTTTGTAAATACTATAAATCTATATATTATTATTATTATTATATTATATATTAGTCAAATTCAAATAATTTATTAGATACGTGTATACGCATGTTTTATTTATATATCATTATTTTTATAATACGCTGTATACCTTTAAAAAAAATCTATCGTTCTATGTTTTTATCCTGTGAACTCGTTTTTTTATGTTTTTGACAAATCACTTATTAAGTATATAAACTGTACATATCCGGCACTTCTTTTATAAATAAAGTGCGCTTATATTTGTATTGAAACGTTCACCTTTTTCTTTGCTAGTCCACACAACACTATCTCCTTCAACCGCTGTAATTTCAAAGGCGGTCCTTGAGTTTTTCTTTATTATATTCAAACATATCTTTTGGATTTTCCACATTTGCTTTTTTTAAATGCTGCCTTCTTTGTGGGCGACAGTAGTTATAAGACAGGTAAAAACGATAAGCGATATTTGAAGTTGTTTTCAGGATAAATAATTTTTCTGTATTTAAAACAACACTATATCAAACGTTGCTTATCCCTGGTGGTTTTGTTCATTAAAACTGGTTTTATAGACTTTAATTGGACGTTATTCCCCGATGAGTAAATTTTCCAGTACAATAATAATTATTGTACATACCTACTCGTTAACCACAATCGACCATTAATGTAAAAGGTACGAGACTCGATTGCCGGCACATGTTTGTGATCATGAAGTGTCAAGTTCAATGCGTTCGATTTCGTTCGGCACGACCGAAACAGCCTTGAATAATAAAACAAAATAAATGTAAGTAGCGAAAGTACGACGGCGTTTGTTTGTATCGTTTTACAAAACACAAAACGACTTAGTGTAGCTGTTTTGACATTCACCACACTGTAATCTCAAACATGTTTTCATCTTGGCTTTCACGGTGAACATATTTTATGTATACCTATATGTACTATTCAGCTGTCAGTTAATTTAAATCAATTAAAAAAAAGAAAAGAAATTTATCCGTTATTCGTTTGATACGTTTATTATACGACCAAACCCTAAATGACAGTAGCTGTTGTTATGTTGTTTTACATTATAAATGTAAAACATATTATTATGCATTTTTATTTGTTGTGTTGTTTTTGTAACCGAAGAGAATCTGTCCACACGAGTAAAACGCAGTTGTAGCTTACAAACAGGTTAACAATACACATTCGTTAGAATATGATATATAATTAATATATATATATATATTAATAATTTCAGAAACTTGTTTATTTTACGAAATGCAACAAACATATTGTGTCGAACAGAATAAAAATTTACAAAATCGTTTCGTACAACGGCAAAAGAGTTAAATATTTTAAAACAGCTGGTGTGCATAATTAAACGTGTAGAAATTTACTTAAAGATTATAAGCTCTTAATTGTTGCTCGTCGAACCCTAGCGGTGTCAATACCGTTGCCTCGCATTGCTCTATAAGTGGAATATAAATTCGAAACATTTCCTCGACAACCTTCTCGTATGCCACCATATACGGTGTTAAACTGTCTTTGAATTCCTTGATGTCCGTTGATGTCGTGTTCGGGTCCATCGAATTCGACCAACAACGAGCCTGGAGAAAGTCCCGCAATTCGTTGTTTGCCGACGTTATCTGTCGCAGGAATTCTCTGGAGTCTCTATTAAAATCGGCCTCCTTGATCGCGTCTCTGTCGCCTATGTAATTTGATTTGCTCAACGTCCCACGGTCGCAGTGCGGCAACAAGGTCGATAAGGCGTCGATGACCTGGCTGGTGCCCGTGGAAGCCGCGGGGGGGTCTTGTGCTCCGGAAGCTTTGCGGTAAAAATTCAGAATTAATAGTATTTTTTCGATCAGCGACTTTTTCGCGTCCAATATCGCCCAAAACCGTTCCATACAATCCAACCGTTCCGCGGCCGTGTCCGCCTCCGTGCACCACACCGCGATTATTTCAACGAATATGTCGTTGAAGTATTTTAGAACATCAACGTAAAAGCAGCTCACCACCGTCGAAGATTTTGCCAATTTGTCCGTGTAGTTTGCCGGGGTAACAACATTGCCGCCCGCGTCCTTGTCAAACAGACGCGACACGTTGATTTTTTGGCCGTCGATCGATTTCAATTCTCGACCCGTGTCCTCGACTATTGCTACCACATTCGTCCAGTGTTCCGCCTTCAAGATATCGTTTAACATTGCCACGGGATTTCCTTGGGCCGAGCACGTCGGAAAAGTGCCAACGGAAAACAACCAATACACAAAGAACAAAAGTCCAATCATATTTGTAATAGTTTATAGCTGTTATATTTCGAGTAGCTAGACTTTACTGAAAGGCCGACGAAACAGGACTGTTAGATGGGTATAATTTGGTTTTCAGCAGGCGAATTCGTCAGGTTAGGTTTGGTGAATGTTTGTTTAGCTTTATTCAGCTCCACGTTCACCGTGTGAAGCCACGTAAGAAAATTGTAATATTTGTTCTAACTTCTACCAGGTAGGTCGATGGAACCCTGTAAACAAGTTCATTTTTGAAGGTCTTTGGTTTTCGTTTTATGGATGTCTTCTCTCTTCCGCCATTTCCGTCATGTATATGGATTGTAAATAAAATCAATAAAAAGAAAAGTTCATTTTTTTTTAGCAACTATTTTTTTCATTTCTATAACGAATAGTAATAATAATATAATAAATAACATGAAATAAAATATGTTTTGCAAAACCAACTGTCGCGTAGTAGTATTTTTCCTATCCGTTTCGATTTTGTAATATTTATATTGCAAAATTGTATAAGCCTCTCCCGTACACGAAATGATCGATTTGTCGATCTGTTGACGTTCAAATTGATCAACAAATTAAATTCAAATTTTTAAAACAACTCCATACAGTGATAAATTATCAATACACGCCCATCGACCGATAACTACGGTTTTATCATTGTTTTACTTTTCTGGACAATATTTGTTATTACACGTATAATAATAATAATAATTTTCTTTATTACGGAAATAAATTCCAGTTACAAAATAACTTTTTTTTTCATACATATAAAGATTCATTATGAGTAATTTAAATGTAATAAAATAATAATAATAATAAAACAAATACGTATCAATATCATACAACAAATCTAAATGTATAAAGGGAAAAACAAGATAAAATAAATAATAAAACAAATTCTAGTTATTCGTTATGTATTTCTTAGGACATTTGTCATAAAAACATCAAGAGATTTACTAAAAAAATCAATATTATTTACAGAGTTACCAGCAGACATTAAGATATTGGTTGGAGAATTTTGCTTTATAATTTGTAGTTGACAATTTTATGTAAAATAAATGAAGAGATCGGTAGTTTGTTAGATTTATTTTAAAATTTATATTTTGCAGTAGCAAAATTTCAATTTAATTATTGTGAATCGCTGTTTTAACGATTGTATATTAAAAAAGTTGATTGTAACATTATAATCAGAATGAGGGGCTGTATAAGCAAAACGCTGGTAGCATAAAAATCTGATAAAATTATTTTGAACGTTGTTTAACTCTTGGATTTGTTTTATTGAATATGGATGCCAGATTAGGAGGGCATAATCAAAGTGTGAACGGACTAATGAGTAATGTAATATTTTTAAAGCAGATTCATCTCTAAAGTTTCGACAGGTACGTTTTAAAAAACCTAGCTTTGCAGACGCTTTATTCCTAATAAAAAGTATACGATCATTAAAAGATAGTTTGCAGTCAAATTTTACCCCAAGATCGTGTACTGTGTACACTCTTTGGAGATTTATATTACCCAAAAAATAGTATATGTGTGAAAACACATTTTAAGTCGTGTTTTTTTTTTGAAACAAGCAGAAAACATATTTCCATTTGCCGTTTTGTATGCTTGTTTCAACAGTTACCTGTTAGTCATAGATCAATGCGATAAATACAAAATATAACCATCACAACGAAAACAACACCTTTAACATCGACCTATATGTATTATATTAAGTGTCTAAAATGTACAATTGTCAGTATTCCTAATTCAGTTGTATACTTGTATAAAAGAAAAAATTATATTTGAAAACTTATAGAAAACGTTTAAACAGTTTAAATAAAAAATCCCAATTGGACTCGTCTTATCTTTGAAACTATGTCGAAAACAAATTTAGTTTTAACTGTCCAATTCTATATAAATAAAAAAAGTAGGTGTTATCAATTTGATAAATGGCCATTTCTTCGCGTTCTACTCAATTTCAAAATATTAAAAGTAGCGGTGACAATGAAAGTTGGTGGACAATTTTCAACAATTTAGGGATTTTATTTTAGCCATTACCAACCAACAATAAGTCTACTAGTCATCAGAGTCCTACTGGTTGTATTAATTATACATGTATACATATAAAGGGTGAATCATTAATGATAAGACCTCGTATGGATATAAAAATTATTTTAAATTTTAGAATGTTTTTCGCATATCGGCGCATGTGTTTCATTTTGGAACAACATATTTTTGTGACCCTGTTTTTCAAAAGTAAACAAAAATTTAAAAATATAATTTTTAACTTAAGTATTGTTTTTATCGAATTCTTGCCGAGGCGTTAACTCGAATACACAATTCTTTTACTTAGGAAAAATACTTTGATGCGCGTTTCGATTTCCACTTTTCATGTAAATGCAAATATTGTTGCAAATAGTTTTTACAGAATTTTTTACACGTTCAAAAGACTGTAAATATTATTTAGAAACTCACATTAAAAGACCAATGTGAATAATTTTTTTTTTATCATACAATGTCATTTTAAGGTCATTGTAATTTTTCCCCTCTTCGGTAAGAGGATTTAGGGAGGGGCGATTTTGGAATCTCTTATAGCAACCTGTATAATAATCAAGATATATAAGGGTATTTTTTTTTTTAGTAAAATATAATTTTATTGAACTTTTAATATTGTAACATCAATCCAAAGAGCTGTAACCTTTAGAAATTTCTTTTTAACACTTTGTATACTTATATAAATTATTTTAATTTTTAGAAAGTGCAATTTTTGTAAAATGTTGTATATGTTATAGTTCCATTTTAGATCTACCTTCGGTCTAATTTTTAGATCTAAATCTCTAAAACTTTGCCTGGAAAAGTGAAATAAAAAAAATAGGGGGAAGGGTTTATACAATTTGTTTGGTTTGTTAATGTTTATCGATAGTAGTACTATGTTTGAAGAACAATCATTGTAAAAACAACACCGAAGCTAAAACATATTATATAATTATCAATATTCGATAAATGCGAGTGGAACCACACTATTTTCACGATTGTACAATATATATATATATTTTTTTACATACAATAATAATATTATACACCCCGCTGGGTATGATAAATACTTCAACAACGTACTTGGATTTACACAATTTAATATCACACTCGAGGCGGTGTATCGTCGTTAAGGCATTAAATATTGTACATAGTAATGATAGTTCATAGTAGGATTACGGTTTTCATTTTTTTTTTGTAGACAAGTAGTTAATATATTTAAGAATAGTGAACTATAAAAAGCCTTAATGCCCCCACAAGACAGAGGAAATTTCTCAATAATGGAAACGTTTAACACATTCTCTTGACTTAATAATAGATGTATGAATTAATATTATTAACAACGTTAATAGTTTAAAAAGCATCGCCTATTGGTAAAAAAAAAAAACGTCCGCTGTTGAAGTGTATAATATATCGTGACGACTTCTCTTTAAAAAATACCGTATTAATAATTAAGTGTCCACGACTTTCGCCGTCTGAATTTATTAGACACATAATTACTATGGCTTTCTGTATCCTCGGTTGAACTTCCTTCACTTTTATTCGCAATGCAAGTTTTTGGTTTTATTTTAAGCAGTGAAAAGTGGCAACCGGGAAAATATGCGATGGAAACATGCCACATTTGGCAGTGTACTGTACGGAGGTGACTGCTCGAAGCATTGAATGAAAAAGGAATGAAAGGAAAATGGAAGTAGTTGAAATGTGAATGTAGAGGTGATTAGTATACAAGAGTGAATAGTAAAGGATTGACGCCAAACTAAGAAGAATAGGTTGAAACGAGGATTGGGCGCGCTGTGAAGATAAATTAAATAGTAAAACCTGTTTCGTACAAACCACATTTTGTACAAGACACGGGTAAACTTGTATAAGTTGTGTTCTACATATTTTAATATTAGCAAAAATACAATAAAAAAATGGCTGTTACCATTACAATCTCGACAATGTAAGCCATTGCGGAACTCACATTTTGCGCGTTATGACTAATGCGGTTGTCTTGACGACCTTCGGTTGTTTATTGAAAGTACAAATTAATTACAAAAATAATAATATTACGTTTATCGAATTTTAAATCCACATTAAAATGTAATAAATAACACCTATAAAAAATCTCTAGGTCAATATTATGTTGACATTAGTAGGCATATTATTAAACACAAAGTAATAGTAGGAAATAGGAATTCGTATTAGTTGACATTTTCTTTTTTTTTTAAATAAAAATACCTAATTAGTAATGGAAATTTATTTAGCTGTTATTTATTTTGTTAGCATGTTTAATAACTAAAACGTGCATTACGTCCGAGTTATTAACTATTGGGTAATTTATTAATTTCAAGGCTTTTGAAATTATCTCAAACTCCATATATATATATATATATATATTTTTTTTTTTTAATACATAACATTAAAAATATTTCTAACTTAAATTTTACTTATATTTATAATTATTATTAGTATAGGAATTTTTTTTATTTTTTCTAATTTTATCAATAATTTATCCACAAACAATTATTCCAATTGAAACCCATAAAATACAGAAAAAACAAATACTAGTTCTAAAACAATCATAATAATTATTGCAATCCGTGTGTTTTACTATCTAATGTTTTATGAACCAGTATGCCACACAATGGTCAATGATGCAATGTTCAGAATGGTCGGCTCGCAAGAAAGAATAAAAACAAATACTCGTGTCATAAGTAAATGTTAAGTTCATTAATCAGCCTGGTTTTTTGTTCTGGCGTTACCGCTATTTGTCTAATATCGACCGATTAGTATAATATAGTAAATGTTGTGTTTAGTCATTGTGTTGCTGTTAGTACAAGTTACTGTATAATACTAGTAATGCCGGTAATGTGTACATACACCGAGTTGGGTTAGGAGAAGTCAGAAATGGCCTTATTCAAATAGCAAAATCAGTGGGATGTATTCCTGACATGCATACTATATTATAATAATATTATGCGACGTAAGGAGCTCCTCTATGGGAAGCTAAATCCTCTAAAAAAATGTCAGTTCTTTTAAATTCTCTTTTTAAAAAAAATCGCTCGAGAGCCAGACCATACAGGGTGATCGACTTACCGTGAATGTACGGTATATAACTCACTGGGTTGAGATCCTTTTTTGTGGTATATTTGAATTTTAAAATAGATTAGAAGCCTAATTTCAATTTGTCAACACTACTCCCGGGGCGGTGTTTAGACGTGTTATTATATTTTCCACTGTCTTTTTGTGTAGTTTATTTGAACATTTTTGAAATTAAATTTCTATCCACGGATGTCGTATTGCGGATTTTAGTATACAAGCAGCCGGCGGACATAGTAATAATAATAATTTATTATGCACAATATCTTCTTCAGACGCGCACAGTTTGATATTTATTACCGAGCTGGTATTTTCTTTGTCGGGAATTTAAATATTAAATCTTACTCCTTCAAAACCAGTTGAACGTTTACTCGACATAACAGCGGAGTGTTTTTATTATAGCAAACACTTCGACCGTTGTAACTTTTGTATATATACCAATTTATATCTATAGATACCTCTCATACAATGTTCCTCAAAATCCAATGTTTATATGAAAAATCATTACTTACTCCGACCAAAGATCACTGTAAAACAATTTATAATAAAAATGATTGATCACTTCCACACGTGATTACGTTTTGGATTTGGAGCTGTTTTTTTATTCGTTCCCGTATGCGATATTTTGACATAAAAATGTTTGATTTATAGTTTCTTTTTATGATTGATTCATAAGTGGAATTATTAGAACACATTCGAATTGGACCCAAAAACTCTCATTTTCACTTATCTGACACACCGCTTTCTTCTTTATGCGCCCAACAAGCTCACTACGGCTCTGTCGTTAAAGCTGCCTTTTTAAATAAAATTAAGCAGTGATATTTAGTAAAAAAAATTATTAAAAACTGCAAGTGACAAAACGGATGACGACTAAAGATAAAATTGAGGATCCGTGCTGTTCATCTTGCATATTAACTATTGTAAAATTAACACTTTTAAAAACCAAGCTAACGACACAAAGCAACAGACGTTTAAATTTTAGTTTCAACTATACGAAGGTATACCTTTTATAGTTCAAACGGTATCATTTGATTTCTGGTGCCTACTCTTGACTGTTTGTTAATTTTTTTACCGTTGACACATACAAACTATAAAACGACAATTGGAAAATTATTGTAAAATGAAATACTTTCTCTTAATTCCATGTCCGCGTTAATGTTAAAATGATCTCTGGTCGCACTTGTTTTTTAAATTTTTTATTATAGTTTATCGTCGCTGCATGTATAATTGTTGTGGTTTGCACGTTTATCTTTTACATTGTACCTAACTTGTTACTTTTTTAACCGGCAGTCGGTGTCCCTCCTTTTCGGGACAGCTTGTAAACAAGCAAACGTGGCTTGGAAGTCCGGTTTCGTTGTACTCTGCTAAACCCAATGGATCCTTCCTTGCACCATACTAATAGGTGGTATACCCACATGGACGTTTACACGTTGTACAAAATCATTTTGCCGGACGAACACGTTTCTTTTTTTAATTGACTACCCGAAGCTACTAAACACACAAATTCGGATGCTCACAAGACACAGCAACACGGCTGCTGTCCAATAAGATTGGACCCACCCATGTGAAACTATTTGGGTTTTGATTAGACTCGGCTACGTGACATTTTGTAGTAGAATATTGCTCGTTAAATACCTAAACCGCAGTTGCGAGTAAAACATCTCTGACGACAGAGATATTATATTATGCATGTGTCTCACGTAGGGCCAGTTCAAGACAAATCGGCGTATACTTACGTGTGCTTCGAGTCTATTCGGTTTTGTATGCTTTGCCCCTTTGGATTGGCCACAGATTCGAGGTAGTCGTTTTTGGGTTCCATAAACACCCGTTTCCTATGTACAGAACAAAGTCCACAGATCAAAATTAAGTTGTAAACCTGAATTGTTATTAGTACGATTTAATATGTTTACTAAAAGTGTTGCATACCTATTTTTTTACAACAAACAATGTACTTAATACATATATATATATATACATACTTCGTGTTTATTTTTTTGTCGATGGTTTGGCAAACCGGACACTGAAGTCATCACTGTTAAGTCATAAAATAAGGTATAAGTATTTATATTAGATGTATGTAAATTTACATTTACATAGCCTCGGGCATGTTGTAAAATATTCAGAGTGAGTTTTATTTGAGACCGCACTGAACAGCCTTGAATCGAACAAATTCAACACATTTGTAAACAATTTTACTTTTAATTTGGCATTATTTAAAGATAAATTGTTCAGCTTTGATGCGTAACTCAAAAGGTTTTCTCCTTAATATCAACAAGTATGTATTCTAGTAAGTAAGTATGGTCTTCTCTCTGTTAAAAAGCGTTTTCATAGTATCAAATTTGTTTATTTTATTAAACTTCATTTTCAGGTATTAATAATTTAAACAATTAGGTAGTTATCATGTAGACAAGTAATAAACCTATATTTTTCATGTATAGAAATTAAAATTCTATAAAATAAAATATAACTTTATCTTTGGTGTACACTGGTAAAAAAAAAAAAGGCACATAGTTTAAACAAAAACTATTTTCATAATAATACAAACAAACAGATTTTCATCGTTGATATGAATCTAATTTTTTATTGACTTCATTATAAATAATAATATATGTACATCTTAGTAGCCGTTAAAAAAATAATACTACAAATAATAAACCAATTATAATAAATATAAAAATAAAAATAATAATAACAGTTTTTATAAATTTATAATTTTTATATGGTAATAGTAAGCTGATAAACTTAATGAGCTAAATACAATACTTCATTACAAACGCATGACAATAACGATTCTTAACCAGTCTGGTTGTTTTTTAGCAGCCAGGTGGAATTAATAATTAAGGCTGCTCATAGGTCATTAAAAAAACAAATTGTATTGTAAATATATACGTGTAATAGTATCTTTCTTGTTGCTCGAGAAGTGTTTATCTTTAAATTTGACAGAACTATTTTAATATTTATACTAAAAAATTCAAGTAGTTAAAAAAAAAAAACAAATTACATCAAAAACTCATTAGGTAGTAGGCTAATAAAAAAACATTCACAATTCTATAAATTATAAAAAAGTTCACAGTTTTTTTATTTGATTAAAATGTCAAATTAAAGAATTTAATGTTTTTCATTCTTATTGGTCAATTGACAGGGTTATAATTTACAATGTTTTATGTTTTAGATTACAATTCCATCTATAAATCCGTTAAACACAAAACATCGTGTGTTGAGCATTCGTGACGAATGCAAATTTTACTTTTAAATTAAACAAAGTAATTGGGGGAAAAAAAAAAATCAAACGGTTGCGTACTTGAGAAGACAACATGAAAGTATAAAAAGGCAATTTATAATAATATGTATATACATATATAGAGGCTATTCACATTAAAATCAATTTTGTACACAATACGAAAAACGTGTATAATTACAAATTTCACTAATTTACCTTGATGACGACATTTGTGAATATATGTCGATGGCACAGTGCTCGTGCTTTGATCACATTAGTTTGCGGCAGGCGCTAAGAAGGGAGTCCGAGAGCGGCAGGAGTTTGTTGCGTTGGTTGGAGTTGCATGGCGTGCTGCTGCTGCTGCTGTTGTTGTTGTTGTTGTTGTTGCTGCTGCTGCTGCTGCTGTTGTATGTGCATCGATTGTTGATGCATGTGCATTTGCTGCTGCATATGCAGTTGTTGTTGTTGCTGTTGTTGTAAAACGAGTTGATGTTGCTGAGGGGGCGACACGGTAGGTTTCAACGGAATGGGAAATGGTCCGTCGGTCCACGATATTAGCGAATGTTCGAGCATTTCAGACGACTGGTAATGGTCTTTCAATAACGTCTGAGAAAAATTGCTATGCATTTGCAGGGCTTCACTCTCTCTTGTGGGATCGTTGCACATTCTATACAAATCTAAAAAATATTTCACACAGCACAAGTTTAGAATACGACTTCAGCGGAAAATTTAAAATTTATATAATATACCTTTTAAAATAGCAGAAGCCCACAATTGCACGTGAACATCTGGAATTTTGCTAGCTAATTGCATGGCTGGAGTGACCATGTTCATACTTTCCCTGCTGTTGCCCAGCGATAAGAATATATGACCGAGAAGAACTAACGAACAACTGGTTAAGCGATTTAAATCTTCAGCGTTTGCCATCTTTAAGGTTTCTCTTAAGTATCTCCTGAAAAACGTTGTAACAATAATTTGTGTTAGTTTTAAAAATTATTGTCAAATCAGAGTTGACAAAATATAATTTTAGCATATTATCTAAAAAAAAAAAAACCAGGTTATGGCCAACTCTATATCAAGACGCTTACTTTGCTTCGTTGTATCGTGCTTGGAAAAATGACTGCAAGCCTTGAACATAGTATGCGGCAGCTCTGAGACTGTGCGATTGTGATGTCAAAGTCTCTGGATTGATACGATCTAGAAGAGCATTTAAGTCTGCATCTCGTTTTGTTCTTAGGTAAACAATTGCTAGGTTAAGGTTCGCAAATGCCCACAATTCACGTTCTTGTGACAGCTGTAAAATTATTTTAAAATATTGTAATGATAAAAAAATGATTACTTAATAAACTACCAAACACGTACTCTTAACGACGTAGTAAATTGTATTTCGGCGGCATCCATACAGTTCATGCTCATTGCGTATAGGCCAATAAGCATGTGAAGTTGAGGACGGTGTGAGCTCAGCAATCGCGGATGTCTCTGGCATATACTGCACACTTGAGACATCTCACGGAGAGCTTGCGATTTATTTCCTGTAACTAGTCGGCACATTACCATATTTTCTAACAACATAAGCTGGAACACCGACAGTATTGGAGTTTTATGGTCACCGGCTGCGCGGACAAAATATATAATAGTTATTGGCAAGAAGTTTTATATAAGATGATATAAGATTAAGAACTAATTATTACCTTTAAGTTTTTCTATTTGCGCCAAGGCTTTGTCAGTGTATTTTTGAGCTTTATCCATGTAGCCGGCTTGCATGCTATGCATCACAGTTACCAAGTATACAACAATATAGAGCTGCTCTTTGGGCATCCAGATGAACATGTCTCCCATATTAGAACCACACACGACTAAAAAATATTAAATAGTAATTTTTAATTTTAAAACTATAATTTTATTTGGGCTTTTGACAGAACACCTATTATTTCCCAAAAGTAAACATTTAGTCTTCCAATTCCAAAAATCACTAAGTCATCAATTTATGTAAGAAATTGAGATGAGTTTAGGTTTTAATTAAATGGAGGGCAATGAGTCAAGCGGCAAAGTGGTTTAGTTCCAAAACCTACTCTAAACTTTTGAAAATAAAGCTGCTATGTTGCTTTGTAACAATGTTACAATGTTGTGTCGTAATAGTTTTCCTTAAATATCTCAAATTAAGGTGAAATTTGTAATTTAATTAAGAGGTTTGTCATGGCAGTAAATAACAGAATTCTGTGAATTTCAATACATTTCTCTAATACTTAATCACATTATCAAAATTGGTCAATTGATAATGCAGTAAAATCTATTTGTATTACCAAATACAAATAGTTAAAAAGCCAATTTCTGTCGATTACACAAACAAAAATAAATTATTATTTATCTACTATCAAATTTTGACAAATGTTTATGTTTAAATAATTTTTTTCTACTTTTTAATTATAATTTATCAATTACTTTGTTTTAATATAGAACGATTAAACTAATTAAGACCATTGATATAATAATATTACAATATATAAACTTACTAGCAATAACGTAAATAGCCAGAAATAAAAGAATTAATATTGTAATACTCCAAATATATTAAGTAGCAACTACAATGCAGTTAAAAAGACTATAAACTTGTTACATTGCAGATTATTATGTACGATTAATGAGGTCATATAAAATTAATCGTTTTATGATCATAACAATATTAATTTTTACCTTCATCAGAAGGCCATGTTGGCTGCATTATTGTCAAAATACTTTGCTGTAATTGTTTCAAGCACGGCTTCACACTTTTAACTTGTCCTGCCATTAAATAATGACATACCTAAGGAAAAAAAAACAATAGAAGCAAATTAATAATATCATGTAAGCTAATTACTAGAAAAATTCTTTCCTTACTTGTAAAACTAAAAAAAAGACTTTGAGATATTCTTTTTGATATTGGCTAGCTTGCCAATTATCAACTAAATATCCAGCCTGCGTAAGTAAAGGGGAAACTTCTGTAATTTTCTTGTCAATTAGTAGTAACTAATAAAATTAAAAAAATAAAATCATTAGAAAAATCAAACAATCGACATAAATTATCATTGATCATACCATGCATCGGCTAAGTAGAAAGAGAACTCTTGTATATGCGGCTGATGATATGTGAGCATAGTCAACACCAACGCCTAACAAACTACTTGCTAACTCGTAATCTTTTTCAACGGCATGTATTTGCTGAAAGTATAACAATGATAATATAAGTATTACATTTTATTCAAGCTGTAATTTACGGATCTGGACCGTAGATACAGTGAAGATTTATTGTTGGTTAAGCGTACTGCTAATTGAAAGATTAATCTACAGTGCCAGTAGATGTTGTGTTGTGACAGTTCGACGGCTTTTCTTAAAATTGGTTTCGCCAAGTTTGATTGACTTTGTTGTTGGTAGAGTTCAGCCACCACACTGGCCGCTTCAAATTTGACATCGTCGAAGGCGTTGATGGATTGTGACAGCAGCCACTGGAATTGAGAAATTTGTCGAGATAAACGATTTTTTTCTTTGGCAATAATAATAATAATAATAACGAAAAAGTGGAAAATTACCGCTTGTTCGAGATGCGTCCGGGCGAGGTCTGTGTTTTTTGTGTATTGTAGCAAAATGTTGCCCAATTGCAGATGAGTTCTGGCTTCGACCCTTGGTGGAGGCTTGAAGCTGAACACGGCTTGTAGACATTGAATGCACATTTTTATTCGATTTGAAGTCCTGAAGTTTTCTGCAAGCCCCAAGAGCGACAGATACCAAGCGTCTTGTGACGACGCCATCGGTGATCGGACGCTAAAGCTGAACTCCGGAAAAGCAAAAATTCTCTTTTAACAGTTACATTACATTTATCAACAATTGTTATAATCACGACGATTTGTCAACAAAACACTAAAAAAACCAAGGAGTAAGGGTTCGTTTATAATACCGTTACCGCGGTATAAATTGTGTATGACCGCAATTGCGGTAGCGGTCACCTTGACGGTATTGTGTTATCAATTTACCAGTATCGCTTATCACAGGTCGCAGCAGCCCTGCTGTTTACTGGTCGACAATCGACATTCGTTACCTTGTAAAAAAATTATTTAAACGATTTTATCCTTTAGCGCATCTGTTGTGATTATTAAAATGCAAAATATGTAAAATAAAAAACAAAATGATCTATAATATTTTATAACAAGTCATTTTATTTTTATCATAAGAGTACTTGAACGACATACCCTATGGATATTATTTACAGTAATTATACATAATATGGTATACCCTAGGTATTTCATGTTACATGAATTACTTTTCTTGCCTGTAAGTTTTTCTAATTTTTAAACGTAAAGCGTTCATCTTGCAGTTTCTAATGTAAACTGAAACATTATCAATTTTTGTTTTGTGAATTTCTTATATGCGATGAATTCAAAATAAAACAATTTACAATTTAAAAAAAATATATTTTTTATCCATACAATTTTTTTTATAAAAACAATTAAAAATGACATTTTGAGTTATTTAATTTAATATATTTTATTATAAAATTAAAGACCTAATGTATATTATATTACATATGATTCTTGACATTTCTTTTCCTGTTTTCTGTTATATTTGTACTCTTCAAAATGGTTTGTGAACTTAAAGATTTCTAATTTAATCATTAGTTGTATAGCTTTAAACAAATTGAAAATGTCATTTTTATTTTGGAAATCGTATAAAAAGTTGCCTAAAGCTTCGGCCGTTCTTACAAAATATTTAGAACAATCAAACGAACCACCGTGGACGTCTTTTTTTATTAAGTATAGTTCCGTAAATAATGATCAACATGGTCTGTCACATTTCAACTGGAAAGTAGGCAACAGTAACTATCACATTTTGCGGTCTGGATGTTTCCCTTACATAAAGTATCATTGTACCAAAAGGCCTTTTGAAAATTTAAGCACGGAAGATTCATTGTTTTATGTATTGAAAATTATAAACTTAGGTGAGCGGCGTTTTCAATCCTGTGAAATATTGTTAACTATTTGCACATACCTTATTCTATTAACTTTTAACAAAAAATCTAAATTAGTTCCAACAAACCGAATAATATGTTAGGTTTTATGTGTTTAATTATTTAAAAATGTTTTTATAATATCTACTTAACCATTGATTTATTTCTTATTTTGATTTCAGGAATACCTTTACTCGTGTACGGCATTTCAGCGATTTTTATGATAACATACAAAGAAAAAGTCCAGACTCCCGAAGGAGAAGTGTATGTTTATTTTCTTTTAAAAGAAGATAAAGGATCTACACATTAAACATTTAAAATTTAAATATTTTAGTAATAATATACAAAATATAATGTTTCATATCCTACTTTAGTGGTACGAATAACTTATTTTGGAAATATTTTATGTATAATTCTATATTATATGTTATGACTTATAATTCAATATTTAAATGGTTTTATTATGGAATTTAATTAAACAACTGTGTAACAAATATATTTGTACCGCAAGTTTAAAAGATTTGTTTTAGTTTTAGAAAATAAATAACCTGTCCAAAACGTGACGTCTTATATTAAACAACCAAAGGATAAACTTATTATGAAAAAATTTAACGATATTATTAATTTAATAAAAAAAAATTGTTAGACTTGGCGGTATTTATATGTGTGTGTGTCTCTTGTCTTTATATTTCTAGTTTAAAAAAAATTCCAAAAAAAAATCCGTTTGAGTTCAACTCAAACGATGGTTTACAAGATATAGGAAGATTTAGGTCCATGTCGAAAACGTTCTTTTTAAAAAAACAAGTTAAAGTCATTAGACTTCATAACATTTTTCAAATATGCTGTTAAAATTTTCCATTTCACAAGCGAAGTGCAATTTTTTAGCGAGACACAACATAACGGTAATTATTTACAATAAGATACTGGAAATTGTATGCGACAAATTATCCACTTAAATGGGTAAAATGGTTCAAAACGTGAGTTATCAATTAATACGCTGTTATTAATAATTGTGAATTTGGTCACATTGCTAAACACCGCAACTGGCTTAACACGTTGAAAACCTAATATTTTGATTTGTTATGTGACAATAACCATACCGGTGTTTGTAAATTTCTTTACGTACATATCATCTATTGTAACGTTTTTCTAATTTTGTTTATATAATAATTTGTAATTGTCGAGCCATCATATTTCCTAATAAAGGCTAATAAAAAAAAAAACCATACCGGTGAAATTGTTTTATGTAGGTATATTTGTAGCAAAATTGAAATCTAAACTTGTCTTGAACACGATATTCAAAATCTTTTGACTCGAGGTCCTGTGGTGTGTTAGCTTTAAGGTAATATATTTTTTCTTGGCCGACGTCGTCGGACAGCTTAGTATACTGCGGTGCCGTTTGTTGTCAGCAAGTTTGACAGCAATGGTGACAAAATTAAACGGAATACGAATGAGAAGGGAAAAAAAGTTATACTTGCTGCTGGAAAACTTCACTGTGCGTTGTGAATGTGTTGGCAATTTTATAAATACTACTGCGTCCAACTAATAATGTATTCTGCAAGTGTTCAATAGTGTCGTTCTACTTGCCCTCGACCCCCTTCGTTATCATTGTTATATATATATATATGTATATGTACGTTTTTTTTCGCTGCTAAAACTTTTCTCTCCTTTTCAGTTTTCTCCGTTTTGCCACGCGGACTTCCAACTTCAATAATACACAACGTACAATGTGTATATTTATATATTATTATTATTATGCATCCCAAACGGCCTGCGCTACTGCGAAGAAGGACGAAAATAATGAAGAATGAGATTTCAACACAATAGGTAATATCGCTAGCTCCCAAAGAGAATAATGTATTCATAACCCCAATTAGCTTATGATTGCGTGAGACTTTTATAAAGCAAAAAAAGGATACTGGTTTGTCAAGTTTCTCGTTTAAAGTTTTACAATTTCTTGCCGAGTGATTTCCAATCGTCGAATTTAGGAAATTTCGAATTTTTTAAATAAATTTGCACAAAGCTATCATAATCGTTATCATGTGAAAATAAAATTTATACTAAATCTTAATTCTGATCGTTAGACCTTAGGTACAGGAATGCGTACAATTCAATTTTATGATAAAAGTACTTAAAATACTTATTGAAAAACATATTTTTCTCGAGATTCGGTGATACCTTTGCCAGAATTTTAACAAACAGCTCAGGAATGCGCAGATTTCAGTCGTAGGAGAAACAAACCGACCTATGTAGTGGCCTTGCCAATGTTTTAAATATACCTACCTACATAAGTATGATATCAAATCTGAAAACGTGCCTCGTTTGGATTTTATATTATAGTCACTTTAAAAAAAAAAAAAAAATTTGTATCATGATAAATTTTTACTTACCGGTTGATGATTAAACGGAAAAAATAATTTTAAATTTAGTTCCCCATAATTGACCTACTAGATAAGTTTCATAGATTATACTAGAAAGTTCTATTGAAAATCAGTCATGTCAACATTTCAGATTACCGTTTTGATCTCCTCATCGTTTGTACCTACCTATTATGGGTAAAATTGATCAGTTTTTTTTTTTTGTGCAATGTTAACTAAACTATTGGTTTTTTTTTTTAAGATTGTGTACTACTACTGTGTAATAACAAAATATATAATATATAAATAAATAATATACTTTTGCTGCTCGCGGTGCCGGGAGTGCGGAATTCTTGTACACATTTGGCGTTGCATTATTCATGATGATCTCTGGTAAAAGTTATTTTTCTCTGGTACGATCCTTCGTCATATCTATACACATCTTATCGGCCCACAGAACCATCGGAGAGAAAACCCGTGTCCCTCGGGGAAACGCAGAATATAATTATTATACGTGCCGTTCCTTCGCCCTTTCCTTCCCTGTCTTTGGGCACCCGGCTGCACTTGTCTCCGGCCAATGTGACACACTACTTGTATATACATGTACTTATTATCTGTCTGTATATGCCCGCACGCACGTCATTGTTGCATAAAACATTTGTCGCCGCCATTCGGAATTGTAATTGAGTAAAACATTTTCGGCGTTCGTCCCAGGATAGGTTAGTGGTATACCTTTCACGAAAAGTTCATCAATAAATACATCTGAATAGGAAGCCATCCACGAGGTAGACAATTCTGTTGAAAGCCGCACACTGGATTGTCTAGGAACCCGACGACAAATGAATGTATTTAACTTGAAATTATAGCTGTTCAACAACATACTGCTGCTTCACGCATGTTTCGGATTTCAGCAGTTAGTTTACTATCGTAATACGATTCTAAATCATTGATCCACGACCAGTTGCTTTCATCTGTTGACTAAATGAGGTTCCTGGACATGCATGACTGACATAGAGGACCCCGTTGATCTAATCGAGCAAAGTAAGACTATGCGGTAGTTTAATCCTCCTGTCACACCACGCATAAAGTCTTATTTTCTTTTGCTTTTTAGTCACGTTGCACATTCGTGCAGCCCCACGTTTTATGTTCATAAGCAATATAGCTGTTATAAAAATATGTAATATGTTTTTATGTATACATATACAATATTCTTCCTCGCTTGTACTTTTGGTTTTGAGCAAATTTCTTTTGTAACAAATGCTTTTTACAACATCTCGGACATCCTTTTCCGGTTAACCTCACCAAAAGGCTCTTTCCAAATCTACGAAACCTATAAAAGTAAATTGATATTTTCTATTCGGTATTTCAATCTCTTTAAACTTTAACTGGTCTTCGGTTATTGACTTTAAAAATCAATCTAACATATTAACTAAATATATATATATATATATTCATCCGTTTTAACACAATTATTCCAGTGAAAATTTGTTTTTATATAGTTAATGACTGATCCCAGATAATGAAATTTCCATTATTTGAAAATGTTGTTACTATAAGTACTCTCTATGCAAACCAATTTATTACTAACCAAATACTTACACATATTCATATATTCTATTTAGATTTTTCAGATTAAGACGTCACCGAGATATTTTTACTTGCCAAAATGTAATATTTATCTTATAAAAAAATTATAATTTTTATTAAATTCTATTTATTTACTACGGTCTTACACTGCGTATAACTTATTAAACTTATGACGAGTCAACGTTGTACACTCATTTTTCTCTTTCCTCTTACTTGCGTGTGTGTGCTTTTTTAAGTGAATGCGTGTCCTGTCGTACATTAAATGCTGTTGAAAAGCCGCACGTTCCATTAACCAATTTGCGGGGCGCACACAAAAGAGTGTCGTCACCCTATTTCTAGCGTATAAAAGCGCGTGTGTTTGTTTGAATATGTTTCCGGTCGACAACATGTAAGTATTACCTAAAGATTTTAAATTCAATTTTACACAGACAGACTGACTATGATGCGGCCGGCACCTATCTGTTTTCAAGACAAGCAAAATATAAAGTCATAGAACATGTAGGTACCACTCAATATTACATTTAATGCTCAATTCTCAATTTAGGTAATATATATATAGAAACTTCTAACATTGGTTGGTTCGTTTTAACTGATAGTACAATACTTAATTGTTAAGAATGGATTTTATTTTAGACACTATGAACATTTCTGCCGAATAGGTACAGCATCGTGTTGGGTGTAATCCATTAAGGTAGGTACGATTAGTTTGTTATACGAAAGTATCACGTTCGTTTTAATTTTGTGTGTCCAAAACTTGCGTTGCATTATAAAACAAATCTGAACAGAAAATGTTTATTACACTAAGTGCAGCTGACTGGTGTGTTTAATTTTTTAAGTAGGTCATCCTACTCGTCGTTTTTTTTTATTAGTGTAGCGTATATAAGAGTACTACTAAACAAATGGCGAACGGTGTTAGTAGTATGAAAACACGCTTTGTCTATACTTAAGTAGAAATGTTTACTAATTCGCTTTTTTCAATTTGTTTGTTAATAAAAGCGTAAGAGAAAGGAAAATAATTACTTATTTATTTAAATTTGTCAAAGTAAATTTTTTTCTTTATTAATTGGTTTATTAATTTTGTTTAAAATTGTTTTACATTGATTGAATCATTTAACAACTGCATGGTGCAGGAAGAGGGAGTGGTAGTGGTGCAGCGCACGGTGCTGGAGCAGGGGCAGGTACTAAAAGTGGTAACAATAGTTTCAAAAGTGCCGGGCTTAGAGCTGGAGCAGCGGGGGCAGCAGGAGCAACCGGCGCACAAGGTGCTGGAGGTGGAACTGGCAAAGGGCCCAACGGCACTGGAATGAGTGATGGTGGTGAGGGGGGAAGGATTGGAGCTGGAGCTGCACATGGGGCCGGCGCTGGAGCTGGAGCTGAGAGTAACAGAGGTAACAGGTTTAGGAGAGCTGAAAGACCAGATGGAGCGCATGGAGCTGGGGTTGGGAGGGGGAGAGGAAGAGGGGCTGGAGCGGCGCATGGAACTGGAGCTGGGAGGGGGAGAGGAAGAGGGGCTGGAGCGGCGCATGGAACTGGAGCTGGGAGGGGAAGTGGTGCTGGAGCGGCGCATGGAGCTGGGGCCGGGGCTGGTGCTGAGAGTAATAGTGGCAACAGGCTCAGGAGAGCTGGGCTAATGCCGGATGTAGCGCATGGCGCTGGGAGTGGAAGTGGTGCTGGGAGGGGTAGAGGTGCTGGAGCAGCGCATGGAGCTGGTGTTGGGAGGGGCAGTGGCGCTGGAGTAGCACACGGAGCTGGGGCTGGGGCTGGTGCTGAGAGTAAGAGTGGCAACAGGCTCAGGAGAGCTGGGCTAATGCCGGATGTAGCGCATGGCGCTGGGAGTGGAAGTGGTGCTGGTAGGGGTAGAGGTGCTGGAGCAGCGCATGGAGCTGGTGTTGGGAGGGGCAGTGGTGCTGGAGTAGCACACGGAGCTGGGGCTGGGGCTGGGGCTGGTGCTGAGAGTAAGAGTGGCAACAGGCTCAGGAGAGCTGGGCTAATGCCGGATGTAGCGCATGGCGCTGGGAGTGGAAGTGGTGCTGGTAGGGGAAGAGGAGTTGGAGCGGCGCATGGTGGAAGTGGTGCACAAGGAGCTGGTGCTGGTGATGGGAGACCACAGGGAACAGCCTGGACCTGAGTTCAAAAGAATATAATTTTGTTATTTTATAAGACAACATAAATATAGGTCAGTTAACACATACCTCGTACATCACAGCGAAAGCAGCTACTGCTGCTACCAAGACTTTAGCGCCGACCATTTTTACTTGTTTAGTGTACGATCACTACGGTGTGTGTTGGATGAATACGATGTTTAACGGTACTAAGCGGTGAGTTTTATACTGAAAAAATAGTAATCAATATTTGTATTTGTGGCACGAAATTGATATGTGTAGTGTTTTATAAAAAAAATATCAGAACACTAATGATATACCTAACTTGTTGTGGTTATATCATTTCACGATACAACGTGTAAGGTCACGCATCATTAGAAAGATTTGATTAGACTTATAATAAATATGGTGGCTTATTTGAATTGTTTTTTTACAACTGTGTTAGCGATTAAAATAAAATTAGACGCCTTGGAGAAATCTGAGGCTAGATTAGGTCTCAGATAAAAAAAAAAACTAAATTATTTTGGGTTGTGTTCCAAAATAGTGTTGTACAGTGTAATGCTATTAAACACGTTTTTCTCATCAGCCATTTAAGTATAATTGCTACTAAAATACTAAAAAAATAATATGGGTAAATTTGTATCTTAATTTATAATAAAAATATATGCTTTATGGATTGGAGGGAATTTAGTTCTACACTCTATACTTTACATCTTTAGTAGTGATATGATATACATACAACTATATGTATATACATTTTTTCTACAAGAACATTGTTAAGAATCGTTTTGTATACTATGTAAGTGAACAACAAATAATATATCCCAATGGTCAAAATTTGTTTTGAAAGGTTAATGTCTAAACTCTGTCATATGGTCGTGTTGTCTAGTATTATGCTATTATTTTTCAATAATTACTTGTAAACTATAAAGATTAAAATTTCATTTAGGTTTCAATTAAGTCGGCTATTTGGAAGAGAGTAAACGGTCGATGTAGCACACATCTAATATGTGTTGACTAGGTTTTTTATTATATAACATGAAAATCTGAACAAATTAAACCAGTTTAGTTTTTGCATAATTATGTCCTAAAGTTAATTCCTGGTGGTTTTAGTAATTCTATTTTTATGGTAGAAACAGAAGAAAATACTTTCACAGAAGAACACTATGCATATAATTTGTTGTTAGGAAAAAACTGCAAGTTATTGAAGTGGAAAACAATGTTTATCTGATAACTAATAATTATAGTCTGTAAGAAAAACAAAAAAATAAATGTTATTACATTATATAATTATCCAGTTATAATAATTAAACCCAATATTAGCAACACTCTGTTCAAAAAGTAAAGAAAAAAGTGTTGCGACCGAGACAAGATTATATAAATCATTATTAATTAAAACAACGAAATATTATGTATAAGATTTTACAATTGGCGAGAAAAATGTATGTTGTATGAATTGTAAGTACTTATGAAAATATGTAAATTAATTTGCACGGTCCATTCAAAAGTTATTTTATATAATTGTAATAAATATATGTTTTTCGTTATAGTCTATAGCTTATAAACTTTCTCTAGGTACCACCGAGAGACTTCACCGAGGGCCCGGCAACTAAGTAATTCAAATTTTCGTTTCAGTAAGTGTCTTAAAATATATTAGAACACACATATGAACCTGAGAGTGCTAACAAAATCGCATAACTGTGTTTTATAGTGCGCCCAAGGTTTCAAAACCGCCAATTGTCCTATATGTAGAGTGTTTACTATACCCAATATAATATAGTTTATATTACTGTACGATTTAAACGGAAACGGTAAGACTTCAACAGCCTAGTCGAAACGTTCTTTATATAATAATAAAATAGTTTTAGAATATTCATTTGAACTCTATCCGGCAACATCCCCTTCGTCAACAAAGTTTTGCGCTCGGAGCCATTTAATCAGATTTGCCTCGAGCCAACTTTATTACTATAATTTTTATATTTTTTTTTTCACTTTTCCGGAACTTGTATTTTTCAAACAACAATAAAACACTAGATTGAACCGCGGCACAATATTTTATCATTCCAACGACGTTTATAAATATTTCAATAAAAAAATATAAATATATATATTAATAATAAAAGGCCAAAAATAAGAGGATGTGTTGTTCAGAGTTTCACTGTCTGTAAAAAATAATTTACACAAAAATTACGCTGTATTGTCAAAAAAACACAAAGTAAAAACTTGTGGGAAAATTAAATTATTCGCTAATGAATTTTGAGTTTGTCATGAGCTATTTGAGATGCAAATTCTCTCACGTTTTACACACACACAACTGGACATATTTTTCGGCGTGTAGCGGAATCGTGCGTGCTAAAGCTGATTTATCAATGCGATAAATGACATTTCACAGGCCCCACACTTTGTCGTTAAACTAATGTTTCGCCAACTCGACACATCGAAATCCGAAGGTGATAATTCAGATTAATCGCTTGACCCAAGCATTAGGTCTGCCGTCCGTCGATTCCCCATGGTCTCCTACACTCGGGCCCCACCGACGGCACCGTTCAATCCCCTCGTCATTTGCCTGCCACGACCGAAGTTTTTAATCTAATTTCCTAAAACGAGCCCGGCCACCAAGACCCCTTTTTGTCGAGGACCACAAAAACTCTACCGCAGGACCAGAGTTCTGCACCGCCACACGTTATCCATACTAATGTTGTACGACGGGGATTCGCCGGACCTACTATGTATTCTTAATCCAATTAAAAGCCCACGACCGGGCTTTCTTCTTCTGACATCTGCCCGTGTAATAGACCTGTACTTACACACACGAGTATACACACATACAAGTGCGCCGACACGCGATAAATATCGTTGACTTATCGCCGAGAAGTTTTTTCCCGTCTCGACCCCCCCCCCCCCCCGACCGCCTTCTATCCTTTTATTTCGGGGTTTTTCCATCGGTAATTGTTTTCCGCCGTGCGGTTGTTCGGTCGACGCGATAAATTCGGACGCGCCGTTTGGCAGTGAAACATAATAATTACAACGCCGTTTTGGCACGTGCGACATACGCCGGCGTTATTGCGGTCATAGCCGTGCCAAAAAAATTGTCCTAGGCAAAAGTTAGGGTAATAAAATCTCTCCGTCGCGCGCCCACCCCCGACGACAAACCGGTGGATACATGGAGGTCTATACGCGGCCATTAAGAGGCGCTGTGTGTGTGTGTGTGTGTGTGTGTTCGACGAGAGTGTTGCACTTTAGCGAAAATAAGATGTAATACACGCGATAGCCCCCGTGCAGTCTTAAATCACGTGGTCCGGATTGCCCGGAGACGTTGGCGCCGGTTAGACTTCCAATACTAGCATATACTTGTTTTGGGCAAAGGGGGCTTTGCGCCTCGCGGTTGTTTCCGGTCGGTCGGCGACGGCGAGAGTCGTCAATAATAATTACCCCGAGGGTCGTGGGTCGTCCGGTGTTGTTATCACGCGTACATCGTTTAACCGGATTACCGTTGATTAGGCCTTCCGGCTGTGTGTGTGTGTGTGCGGTATGCACGCCGTACAAAGCACTACTCGGTAGTTGTACGACGACGACGACGACACAGAGCAGCAGCAGCACATAAACACACAATTGATTTAGTAAGCAGTCCACGGATGCCGGGTCCGTCTGTTTCCCGAGAACAGTGACGGCAAGATACGGGCAAGGTGTACGGGAGACACTGCTTGATTGGCCGGCCGGAAAGCCGTGCCACCTCTCCACGTTATGCCCTTTGCCGGGAGAGGCAATATACCCGTATCTGTATTCAACGGAGCGCCGACACAATCAACCCTGGCGACCAAACTTTCTTCGGTGTAGTCACCTAACCGTTATCCGTCGGTGACTCCGCCACGCGTGTTGTGACAACCGCTATTCGCTCCTTTACGGTCAGGTTACACATTACAACTGCAACAGTATAGGTATACACATGGTATGGCGGCATGTATTGAGCGGTTAATTAAACGGGCATGGTTTTGTGTAGGAAAAAATCATCAGACCGCGCCCGTATTGCCAATAACGTTTGGCCAGGTCTTGGCACAACACTTGGTCGTCTAGGAGAACGAAGGTTTTTGATCAAAGATTTTGTCACATTTTAGTTGTCAGTATCTCGTCAAGAATAGCGTCGGCGCCACTTGTATGGATATTTTACGCCATAATGAACAATGTTGTAAATCGCAGCTTGAGAAAGATATTTTTGAATAATATTAAACGTTGACATTTTAACTTTATGTGTTTTATTTAACTTATAATCATTTTTAATAATAATATAAACTATACTTTAGGGAAATTTTATTGCGATAAACGGGTTTCTTAATTATTATTATTATATTGTATCATTCTACCTTTTTACAGATAAAAACAATACATTTCACTGTAGCTGCTTCTTAAATAATTTTTTTAATATTTACAGGCAGGCACTCTTTGGCCCAAAATGAAAAACGGTGGCTAAAAATAAAACGTTGGAAAATGTGATTTTTGTTTATAGGTTTTTACAATACTAATCCACAAATTTATATAAGAAATCAAAATATTGTATCATAATAATTGCATAGTTTCTGAGGGCCCTAAGGATATTGGAGGTAAGAAAATATCATGCTATAGAAATATTTAAAAACTAAAGGGAATGGAAACCGGTTTGTTTTTTAGACGTTCCAGACCTAAAAGTCTGATAAAATTAGCTCTACTTAGGATGGACCAATTTCAATTGTGTACACATTTTTTCTAGGTCAGTTATGGGAATCGATATTTTAATATTTAAATTAAAATCTTAATTTTTATTATTACTTGTAATTTCTCAAAAGTAGTTCTTAGTATTCAGTTTTAAGTAAATAAAACAGTTTTTAAAAAACTGATTTCCACAAAAATCTGGAAAAAAGGCCGACGAGATCAAATATTATGTTTATAGAATTAAAATCTTATCATTCTAATAAGTAGGCACAATTTTATCAGGCTTTTAGGTGTAAATTGGTTTCTTGTACCACCGAATTAGCTTTAATTAATAGAAAAAAAACTTTATACGTTAAATAATTTGATAATGTGGTCGAAATTTATTAAAACCACTTTTTGCTTAAATATTGCCTATATAAAACTCCTTAAAAACCATCCGCTTTCAGTCCCATCAACATGTCCCATTAAAATTGTTTTTTTAATGTTTGATTAATATAATGTGGATTAATAAATAAATAATATACACGAATATTTATTTATGCAATAATACTAATAATAATATTTTTTTTTAGCCTTATAAAGTAACATATGATGCTAATTTATTTGATTTTTAATTTATGATAACAATATATATTTTAAATTTATTATGTATTTTTTCGATTAATAATATATTGTATTATTGTTAGGTTAGGTTAGGTTACCTAATTTTAGATATTGCACTTAATAACGATTAATAACTTGCTTAGCAACGGTCAGGTAATCAGAGTCACCTGGACAATAAATAAGCTAATAACAATTTTGTAAGTAATGTATTTGTGAAGTGTAATTTTTAAATAATAATTTTCTAAGTTTATTTGGAGGCGTTTAAATGCCTAAATATTTCTTTTGTATAGAGTTGGCTTTGAATGCGTTTCAGGTAAATAAAAATGTGTATTTTGTATTGCAATGGACATTATATTTTTACTTTGGCGTTTCAATTATTTATGACCGTTCTCGCTGATTTAGCTTAACAATCAATGTATGCGGCTTAGCCTATGATTTTAGTAGCTGCTGTCGTTGAACTATACTTATTTGTTAAGCTAAACAGCTATCGAGAACGGTCGTTATTATAATATTGTCGATAATGATAATACGAGTAAGACAGTAAAGAATTGGAAAAATCTACATAACATAGAAACCGTCAGCCGTGCGTGAACACAAGCTCTACCTTTGTATGATATAGAAAACAATATATGGCACTAGATGGGTAATATTACATTCATTTGCCATTCAGACGGCGTTTGTGCACACAAATCAGCCGCCGTCATCCGTTTTGTCGAATCAATATACTTCTAGGTTTCGCCTGATTTCCTCCTGTTGTCGATTCTGCAAGGTATACAGGTAAGGTTGGGTCGAACCGGCCAAGTGTTGGACCGGAAGTCGCCGCGGGACAGAGATTGATTCGGAGGCCAATTTCCGGTAGATCGTGATAAATCTTGTACGGGCAATTAGTAGATCCTTGAAGTAGGACCCTGCCTGCTGTACTTGTGTACTAATGAACGAAACCAGTGCATTTTTCTTCGGTTGCAATCGACTTTAAGTACAAACCGTTCTGGATTTCGCACCATCACCGCCGCCGGGACAAATGAGTCCGTATAAATGATATTGACGGCTTTAAGGAGGGCGCACGAGGCCAATATAAAATCGACTCATTCGTCTTTGCCTATACCGCGCAATAGGTCTGTCGAGATACGCCGTTTGTGTCCTGGAGATCCAGGACTCCTGTATAGTTGAGGCTATTAATCATTTGCAATGTTGTCCGAGCGATCGTTTAAAACAATGATGTAGCTGTTAAAATGTAAATCTAACATAGTTGAAGATATATTGTGTAATTTTTCAAAAAATTAACCACGTCAATAGTTGTACAAGTGAAAAACTAGTCAGAAGGTCTTTTATAAATCTAAAAAATAATATCGAAGAGGGAAAAAATTTGGGCTTGCAAATATGGCTGATTATTTTCGACTAATAGTTTTATTTTGTTTATTAAAATAGCTCTCTTTTACACTTATATTAGTCGTCGATGGCCAACGCTACAGCTGGTATTATGTAAGTGAAAACGTTGTAATTTTTAATTATAAAAAATTCACAATACTACTATTGTTCTTTATACATTTAGTACATTTTCTTAACGGATTTTCTACAGTTATTATTATTAAAATATTTTGACAATTTTCGAGACGAAAACGGGTAACGATTGGAATTTAATAACCAACTTAAAACGTAAATGACAAAAACAAGTTAAAATGTCTCGTGTTTGCTGCTGCTGGTAGATATTTATATTAAGATACCCGACTTTGTTTTGCACCCCCTTCATTTCCCCAACCGCATTCCGAGACGGAAGCTTCTCATAAAACGGTTATTGAATTTGCAAACAATTATTATTTTACCTCTTCGTTTGCATGGCAAAACTGAAAATTAAATCCTTTCCACGTCCTTCTCGAGCTTCATACTCGTTATAGCAAAATTATTTACTCGATTTTAAGTAGGTAGCTCTCTATTACAAGTTATTATGACAAGTACCGGCAGATCTACAACGAACCGCATTCCCAATGAGATCATTATCAATTGTACATAAATTGTTCTAAAAAATGTTTTTCCTAATAAATTTAAAGGTTTGTAAACATTTATACTTATATGTATTTGAATTGTTAATGCTGACATCGATTAATAAAAGGTGAGCTTTTTTCAAAAGTTTAATCAAAATGTGTTTTTATTGAAACTGCACATCGGCCAATTTAATACCGTGCTAATGCATTTTTTTACTGTATCTTATCATATTATAATATATTAGGTATAAAAAGTAAACGTTTGCAATTTGCACATTTTTTATAGAATATCATCGTTATTAATCAAAACAGGTATCTTTTAAATGGGTTTCAATATAATATATATATATATACACATGTAATGTTACACATACTATTTTTGAGCTGGCTCGACAGCTCTTATTTTTTTTTTTTTTTTGGTTCTTGTCATGTCTTTTATATAATCACTATGAATATGTTTTTTAGTATAGATCTTTTATTGGTTAATGACACAACGTGTGTATATTAAGGTGTTATCAAATTCAGCATTTTTCCCCCACCGTGTGTTAATATCATAATATTTATTATGTTCACTACGACGATAAGTGGAATCAAGATGCAACCAAGTGGAAGTCGCAATCACGATCAACCGTCGTCTGGATTGATATTATTATAGTATTTTGGGGTAAAGGTACAAGGGCAGAAACTTAAAGAAAAATATTTTTCCAAACTGATGTCTTGAATTTTGCATTTCATACCTATATAAATATATATATACCATATGTTCACATGTATATATACCTATATACATTATGCATGGTGTTTTCGTTTTTCTGTGCACATCCAAATATTATTTCTACGTATCAATTCATATTAAAATATTCGTTTTCCATACTATATGGTATGCCAGATTTAGAAATAATTGTGTCTATTCAATGTTTTTTTGAATTTTGAATTTTGTAGAATATGATTTGACCGTATCCCTAAAAAAATACAGATCACCCCCACCGTATACGTGTACACAATAAAATTACAGTGTTTTTATTATTGTAATTATATCAACAAATATATAAACAAATCAAATATTTTATACATATTATGGTGACATTTTTGTACACTTTAATCAACTTGTACAGTGTTGTAGGTAATAGAAGAGCAACCTACTGTAGCATATTTTTGTATTTGTTAATTATAATGTTGTTTAATATTCACAAACACTTTTTGCGGTCGTAAACCATAAAACTCAAAGATTACCAGAAAGAAATATTATCCAAACGAAACCGTACCTCTCTGGCTTTGTTTTATTCGTGTGGATTTTTACATTTTACACAGTAATAATGTCACGCCCGTGTCATATTGGTCCGGATCGAATTTTGCACATCTGGGATCATCAATGATTGCACGACACGGCTTGGAGGCGAGCACAATAATTCATTTGGCCATCTGTCTTAATCTACACCGGCACAGGGCACGTGATTTTTTTCCCCGTCACGGCGTTTTTCGATTTTTCTCTGACAAACGTCGCCGTCGAGAGCCTCGTGTAAAAATGATTGCTTCATTTCAGCGAATCTGGGCCTTAAAGACAGCCATTGGCGTACAACAAACCGTCCCCGGGACGTCAGTTTAACAGTTTGCGATCCAATGTCTTTCTTTGGCAAAAGATTTTTGATTTTTGAATTTTTTTTTATTAAGGGTCAAACATGTTATTTACATGCTATGATTAAACCACGTTGTACTGTACATGTTGTACGCTGTTGAAATTATTGCGTTTAAAGTCCAAACATGAACCTTTCATACATTTACATAGGTCAAAACTGGTTTACACTGTGGTGTGATGTTACAATATTGCCAATGAATTGAAATAATAAAATGTTTCCATGTGCATTGTATCTATTGTGTTATATCTTTTTTGTTAGGGTTAATTCCATAAAAAATTGAAGACATTTGTTTAAACAGTAAGATCAACGCATCAAAAATTGGTTTGTAAGCACCTAATTTTCGGATTTACTTAACTTGCATTTCAACTAATTTTTTAATTTGTTTTATTTTGGATTTTGTGTGGGTTTTACCCGTCAGGCTTGTCACCGAACAGTAAAGCTAATAAAGCGCGGCCGCAGTTGACGGGGGTGACTAGGCGGTTTTCTTTTTATTCCAGGCAAATCCGGTGCAAGTATATACCTACACATAATAAACGGATAGGTACAATACACTGAGCTACACAAAACCCGGCAAAATCGTTTAACGTTGACGGACAGTATCCGGTTACAGGATTTTATGCGGTCGCCGGTCATATACGTAAACGGTCTCGACCAAGCACGACAGTCCGTGCGTGGACGGGTAGGAGGGGTACAGGTCCGGTGTCTTTGCGGCTATCGCCGTGGCTTAAGTCTTACGGACCGCAGAATATGTGTTTCGGAGACGCCGTCGCGGCGGTACGCTTGGCCACGCCCAGCCGACAGTTGCGCACCGCGCCAGCCGCTTGTAATTGGTTTAGCCGTCGCCGGCGGTGGGCCGGCGACACGCGCGCCCGCGGCAGGCCGTAAGCATTGCCGCCCGCGGACCGGCACGGCAGTCGCGTGCCGCCGTAAGCACACGGTTGACACGCCGCACTAATGCCGCCACTAACGGACAGTCGACCGGTCGTCACGCGTGTCCAAGTCGACGTCGTCGTCGTCGTCGTCTTTATCGTCTAACGTAATAATAATAATAATAATTTTGTCGTCCTCGAAAAAAAAAAGTTTCCCGACTGTAATCGGTCACCATGCCGCGATGAAACGGCAACGTACGGCCATGTGGTGCGTGATCGCCACAGTGGCGATGGCGCTCCTTTGCGAATTGGCCACAGTGGCGACGGCAGCGGCGGTCGGCCCTTCAGGTTAGTTCTCCTAAACGTCTTGGCAAATAAATGATTTTTTACTCAAGTCTAAGCTGTACAATACAGAGCTGAGTACATATTTGTTTACAATGATGTGTTTTTCTTTTTAAGTTTTGTGTGATATTTCTTAAACCGCTGGACCGATTTTTGTACGTAGCAAGTCTATGGATCGAAATTGACACCTTAAAAACTACTTTATCGAACAAATAACAAAAAAAGATTACTTTCTTTTAAAATCGAGAAAAATCCCAAACACATTTGTATGCCATAACTTTTATAAAAATAGTCCCTAGTATTAGGGAATTATTTCGAAATTTGTATGATTTTTTTTTTTTTAAATTCATTACTCAAATACTTTGACGAACCGAAAAAATATCATAAACTCTTTTCCCTAAAAAGGGTTAATCGTTTTGCAGAAATCAGTAATCAAACTTTTATTTAATTAAGAATAAATCCAAAATAAGAATAGAAAAAATCACACTCGAAACGCATTCAATTTACAGGTGTCTGAGTGAATTTTATCAATAGTCAACAATTGTGGTTTTATTAAAAATAAGTCTTTTTGTGACTTTTGGATGATCAGCTTACTTACAAAAATCTTAGTTCTAACGCTCTGGGCGAGAAAGTTCTATCTCATTTTTTCACATTTTTTAGGAGATCAATTTCATGGTTAAAAAGTCAGCAGTTTTTTATTGGTACATGCAAATTGCGGTATCAACATTAAATATAAATATAATGTCATGGATTTTGTTAATGGACTTTAATGGTACTGTTTTTGTTATTGTCAGTATGTAGATATGTATACATAAATAACTAGTAAAATACTTAGTTTCAACTTGATTCATTTTATTTAGCTTACCGAACGAAATAGGTAAATAAAAAGTATTACAACGTAAACGGACACCGTCTTTAACATATATATTTTAATATAGAGAAATCATGATTTTGTTATTAATATTAAACGTCGACAAACTCAATATAATGTAATCTTTAATTATGTTAAGCAAAAATAGATTGTTTATAGATCACAGCTTTATTTACTACAAACATTTGAATAAATTAACCTATGTTATTTAACAGTAGTTTAATAATTATAAGCGAAAGAGTAAAATATCATCGATAGTCACATTTAACACCTTAAGTGTTAACATGTTTTCATAGTTTACAAATAAATGGGCAAAACAAAATCCGTTTTGGGTTCCAACTTGATCTATTAAATATGATTTAATAGTTCGCGGTCAAGAACCTATAATTATTATAATTTTATTAAATAACTGTAATTTATTTATGTTAACTAAAATTTCGAAAAACTGTCAACCTGAGAAATAATAAAATATCCTTTTGATTTGATAATAGCTAAAGTAACTGTTTTATATTTATTCAAATGTTCTTATGTAGGCACTGATGTTTCAATTACATGTATATATATGTACAAGTTGAAACGTGGAGACGATTAAAGTGTTGTTTTATGGGCTGAATCTTAAAGTATACATTTTTTTTGTAGCTATAATTGTATAAACAACAACGTGTGTGTTTTTCTTGAAATTTAATATAACGCATATATTATTATAGTTTATTTAGTATATTATAATATCAGTCTAAATATATTATTTGGTCAGATCACTTCGGAGAGGTCACCTAGGAGGACCAGTCATAACTGTAAGTAGCCGAACCATTTAAAAAAAAAAAGCAGTTCTAAGACCACCTTTTAAAAAACAGGGAAATACAGCAAAGAACTTACTCTCTTTAGGGGCAAAGGGTTTATGATGTTCACTCGGTTTGGGCACAACTAGCACGTGGTTATTGTCAAGAGGTGTTTTTACTTTATGAACTATATTTTTGTTTTACCTTTTCCCGCGCAAACTGCGGACCACACACATTGGTTTTACCATTGGAATTATTAATATTTTATACCATTTCAAGTCTACACTACACACACCCGACATACACATAAAGGCACCGCAAACTAGCGTGCATTGATGATGATATGCACGTTGTTCGGACCACTGAATGTACTCATGAATATTCAACGGTCGGTTAATATGTATATGTATATATGGTATAATATATGAAAAAAAAAAAAAAATGGGAGCCGGATACAACTTTGGGTTTTCCGGTGACTTTCGGTATTGTGGCCAAGAGGAGAGACTCTTTTATTTTGTTTAATTGTTTCGGATTTGCTTTGCTCTCTGATATACCTTTTTTTTTTTCAATGTAAATTAAATACATTTTCTTTTGAAAAATTCACTATGAAATGAATTCCAATAAAATATTATTTAAATAGTTTTTTTTTTTATAATATATTCGAATTAAAATTAATTCGAATCGTTTTCAAATCGATTTTTGAATTATTCGATTTTTTGTTAATTCAAACGCACAAATGGTTTTTTTCATAACAGCGTTTATATTTAAATACTAAGCGAACGTATATTTTATATTAACAACTACCTACATTTGATCAAATAACTATATGTACCTAATCAATTAATTAGTAAAGTAGCTTTATTTAGTAGAGTTATTCAATCATCACAACTATATTGAAAAATCACAATCTTTTACCATTGGATCGTAAATAATATGTTTTAGCTAAATTTCTGTCTTTCGTCGATAATAATTGTCTCTTGACGGCCGGTTTTTCCTTCTTTTTTTCCGTTTGAATTAATTAATGACCTTCCCTCCATTTAAAATCATTGAAATATTTGTATTCAGCCGCCGGCGAGCTTCCAAAAGCGATACTTATAGTTTATGTTGTTCTCATAATTTTTTATTACAAGACAATATTAATAGGTAGGTACTACCTATGTGTATGTAATCCGCAGTGATACACAAATCCGTCCACCGCGTCTGGGACGTATCCGAATTGCCTAACCGGATCGCCGTGCCCTGTGACTTTGGAAATAAGATATTTTGATAATACAACAGCCCCCCCCCCTTCGGTCTGTGGTTAGGTTGGGGCTGTGGTTTTACACCCTCCCCTAAACATCCCGGCTCGTTAAACGCACCTCCACCGCCGGTCGTAATTAATCTGTCAAGTAATCCGATTCGCGCCGGGCGATAGATAATGTCGTTTAATGAAGTATGAAATAGTGACGGATTATTATTACTCTCTTGTATATATATATATACCTATATATATACACACACGCGTAAACGATATTATAATCGGCTTTAAGTGCAATACGCCGATGCAACCCCCCTCCCCCCCCCCCGTGTATTATAATTTAGTAATTTCCCCTCCTCGACTACCGCGATAACTCCTTCGTGATACATGTTATAATATTATATATTATAACAACAACAATCGTCCGACGGGGAGATTAACGCGTTGTATACTATATTTCGCCTAACCGGACCAGTCGTCGTCGGATTTAATGCAGTTTTTTTCAAACATCCATTTTTATAAAGCAAACAAAAATGTGTACATTACTCGTGCCAATTTTGGTTTGTGTGTATAGTTCAACAACAGACAGTAAACATAACAAATTATAACTTGTGTGTTTTTATTCGCTAAATAATCTTTTGTTTTAGATCGTTTTGAGATTTGGACAAGAAAACAAAAAGAACCTCTTGCGTTCAAAGTCATCAGCTTTTTTTTTTTATTTGATACAACATTGTCAAAACGCAATCGACCTAACCGCCTGCTTGGCGCCAAACTCGTTCACTTGTTTTTTGTATGTTATCAAACCAGCTAATATCATTACATCGGCAGCACATTTGAAAAAAATAACAACATTTTCGATTGGCGTTTTCATCGTTATATAATAACTATTCGTCTATTTGACGCGCGTTAATTTATTACGTCTTAATAACTATTTTAATTGCTTATGTCGCGCTCTTTAACGGACAATGGGTTCACTTAAGAAATTAATTCATTATTATTACATTGTATATACGTATAAGAGAATATACTTCGTGTTTAATGAACTCGCAACAATGACTCGTTTTAGGGCATTGTGCTTTTTCGCGCCATTTCGTCATAGTTGTTAGGAACGAAGCAGTTTTAAACATACAAACTTGTACTCATTCATATATATATATATTGTAATTTATTTTGTTATTTTAATTTTTTTTTTTTATTTGAAAATTAACGCCATAAAGGCCGTCGTTGAAGTATAAAGAACGAGATTATTTAATGAACAATAAATATGGGTACAGGGTTCTAGAGCGCACAGGTTTTTTTTTTTTTTTGTTAAACTACGGTTTGGAGTTGTACTGTTTTTAGTCTGTGAAACATTTGTGTAGGTCCATTTAGACCGGTTCTGAACACTGGTCAGCACAATAATAATAATTGGAATTACACTATATAGCCTTTGCATAACGCAGCGCACAGTGGTCAACTAATTTGGACGCGAATTATCATCTCGTCATGCGTTGCATTGTTAACGAGTTTATAATAGCGACGGCTCGTATAACAATATCAACTTGAATCCGCTCCCCCGGGGGCAAGCGTTCCCGGTTATACTGCACAGGTAGTAGTGGATGTTCCTTTTTTGACGAAATTTACATTTCAAAGGAATATTCGTTCGTCCAATACCATTAATCAAAAATTGTAATATTCACCAAAGGGCAGCAGCAGCGGTATAGATCAAAAAGCTCTTTCAGACTGAATCCAGTCTCCGGGGAAGAGTTAGCTATTTTTTTTTTTTTTTTTGGTGATTTCAATTTGTTTTTTAAGTACAGCACATGTATAGTACTAGGTGTATCAGTCGTCCCGTATGATAATTTCACCCTTGTCCATTAAAGTTTTAAACGCGCATACATTATGACTAGTGCGGTATGTGTTTGAGTAGGTAGGATATATATATATATATATATATAATTCCTGGTTCTGGTACTTTCTAATTAGCCGTTTGTTCATACTTGACGGCAACGAAAACAAGTAACAAGTGTGTTATTAGCGCGCTCACACGCGGTACCAATATCTTTGAAATGAAGTCACTTTTTCCATGTTTACCCTCTCTCTTTAAAAAACAACGTTTCCGTCGAGTCACGTCAGAAGA